TTAATAGCTGTGGGGGGGGGGGGAAGGGGTCTGAAGAAGCGCGCCAAAACCTTTCTCTGTTGCGCACCTTTTCATCTGCAGCGAACAAAACAGTAATTTGACATGCCACAGTTGTCGCGTTGAAAAGATTGGGTCATGGTGCGAATGCCGCGCATGGACATACTATTTACACAGTCTTTTTTACCACCCTCGACGCGGTCTGTGAATATCTGAACTACACCCATATTTTGACTGCGTTTCCAAGTTTATATGTGTAACTTACAAGAAAATCTTATTTTAAAAAAAGAAAGAAGAAAAGAAGGACAAAAGAAATGAAAAATTCAACAATTCCAACGCCATGTTTCGCGAAAAAGAGCGCCAAAATTTTCATTTGTTTGCTGGTAAACCTCTGAAAGCAGGCTTTTTGAAGTGGCACCCAGCACTGGTCTTGTTGAACATTTTTGTAGCATACGACCCCCTTCCCCATCCTGGCTATCATGCCTTTTTGATGTAGTAGCCTCCGGAGAACTTTATCCTGGACAGAACTCATGAAACGGGAATAACCGAGAAAAGTCAGTGGCCAAACGGCGAAAAGCGTTTTGCACAAAGGCAAATGCGGCCCCCTCCCCCAGCAACCGAATTCGGCCCCCTCGCTTGGGATCTCGTACGAAGTGTCCTGGTAACACGTTAGCAATTTATTCTCCTTAGAATCTAAAATATAGACCACTGAAACAGTTATAAGCTAGAAAAGCGCTCTGCTGAAAGGTAAAGGAAACGACAAATCGATCCCTAGCAGCGGCGTCTTTATGACTTTCCTTTTTTACTATTTTATAATTGGAATGAGAAGTCTGGTAAAGTTGACAGTGCTGGGTTACCAGTACCAGAATAAATTTTTGAAAGGCTAAGAGCAAATTGAAGGAATAGTAATATTGAGAGGGAATTTGGTGCTGACACCCAACGTATTGATCGCAAATAAAAACACTTGACGCGGTCTATTATGAGTTGTGTATACATTTCGGTAAGAAAGGATCCTATAAAGCTTATAACAGAGTGGGTGGGATTACTTGTTCACCTACATCTAGTAGAGATAGGAAATGAAAATGCAGTTTTTGTGCTTCTGAGCTTTATTTTGAATCCATAGTCTAAAATTTGCAGGAATTCCAATTTTATGTCCGCTTTCTTAGATTTATCATTCAAGCCCTGTTTGTTCACCATTAAGATTAACTTTGCATCACTCAGTGAGAAAAAACGAAAACGTGGATTCACTACTAGCGCAGAAAAAATAATTTTTGGCAGATTTTTCTGTAAAAATCAATTTTCTGAAATGATAATGGAAGTAACCTGAAAAGCGGTTAATCATGGGAAAAGAATCGTAGTCAACTATACAACGATGCTGTCGGATCTTTGTGGAGGCAATTGTCGGCACGAGATGCGCAACCGGATTTCGTCCCATGGTGTACCATGATGTACCTCCCAAGCATATCCACTTTTTTGGAACCTTAGAGGCGATTTGGACTAAATCAAATTCAGCGCATCGTTTTTGAATTGCTCTAGGTTTTTGATAAGACGCTTCAGTACATTGCATCATGTGTAAAGTTGGTCCAAAAAGCTTTTACCATTTCTTACTTTTTTGAACAATAATAGTTTTAATGCTCGTAGATATCAGTCAAAAAATAATGGTCATCATGACCGACTGCGTATGTCCGACGTTCCGACTACTAAATTCGACCAGGTCTTGCCGAGTCAAGATTAAAGTGGTAATCAATCATTTGGTTGGAGGGTTCTGTGCTTTTTAACGATTTTTTGCTGGTTTCCACTGTGATGTAAGGTTCTAGGGCTGGTCTTCTTGAACTACAGCTTTATATGATCATTGCTGTGCTATAGAAAATTGATTCCCCTACTATCTGGTGTACAGGGCACATTTCGCTGGCGACAACGAGCGCGAAATGTTGGTAGGCACAGCAAGTCTTTTCCTCTCTTTTTTGCATAGTTAATTCTTCCATTTGGTTTTGAAACACTTCTTATTGGATGGAGATCGTTAATGTGGGCAAGAACAAACGAAAACATGCAAAGTTAAAGTGAGGAAGAAATACTCGTGTTGGAGAGAAATTGCGCGCTACACAGCGGTCCGCCGTGTACTCCTCATGAAGTAGCTAATAGAAAATCACTGTAGTGCTAGGACCGAAAAGGAGAAGCTTCTATGAACAAAAAACGAGGTTATGGTTGTTGCACTCTTCGTCGGAAATTTCTCTGCGACGCGTTGTCTATGTGTGAAGCAAAAAAATTCTCCGCTCATGGTGACAGGACCCAACTGGCACCTGCGCTACTAAGTGTTCTAGAAGATGTTTGGTTGTACCAGTGGAAAAACAAGGGCAGAGAAATGACTGATGGTTGAGCGCAAATTGAAAGGAAAACTAAAAACTAATTTACAAGCGCTGAAGCTGGAAGCTATGCGATGCCCCTCTTTGTTTCTGTTACCAGTTGTCCAAGGAGTTACGCCTCAAGAATGAAACCGATAGGGCTAGTGAAGCTTAGATAAAAAGCGTTTCATATATTCCAACGAAGTGATTCTGTTTTAGCATTGGTACTGGATTCAGGCGCTGTTCGGCTTGGGAGGGCGTCTTGCTCGTTCGCTAGCCCCATTTGTTATCTCCTAATGAGTTCGTCACACCAAGTTGAGACTTGTAGACTCCTGTCAAGTGTAGACGCTATTGCACAGCCTTACAGGAGTATACAGATCTTCACAGGTAGCATGGGCAGTTTCGATGGAAACCAGCAAATTGCCCACACCAAGCCGAACGGCGCTCTGACTTCATTCTAGCATTGATACTGGTATATTGGTGGTGCGAAGTGGTAAGAATGAAGGAACATTTTTGAAAGGAGGTATTTTCAGAGCGGAAGCATTCTGTGCGAATTGCCGTGAACTGCTTTGCGGGTTGTGTGTAGTCGCTCATCAGAGAGTTCGCGTCACACGCGATCATGTCGTCATATCTCTGCAACAGCTCCTCAATCACATGGTTTATTTTGGATAATTTTGTGGTTTCTTTATCGCACATGATTATAGCATAGCATTGCAGTGTTACGGTAATGTTGATAATTTCAGACTGCAAATGCGTTTGGTGCAGGAGAGAATGGTGTCCTTGGTGGATCATCAGATTCTTCGCCAAGACCGTCTTCAGTGTGTTCAACGCATGATGCGAAGGTGTTCTGTTCGTGTGAGACTTGTGGTAGGGTGACACTGTGTGCTCACTGTATCTCACGTCATTCAGCCCATCACATCGTTCCTTTAGGTATGTTTACTTCGGAAGTAATTGAGAGTACGACTTGTTTGCTGCGGATGATAGGCGTGTCGCGGTGCTGCGTTTGCACGCGCCGACCAGTTTTTTCTTCTTTTTATTCGGCGGGACTACAATAAGTACGCATAAATCGTGTGTGAGTTTTATCACGCAGTTGTTGTATTACACCCTTCGAAACCATTTGGTAAGGAAGGTGGTCGGCGGCAGCATGCTTAAACGTATCCGCGCGCATCAGGACTACATCCACAGCGAACCAGACTGTGAGATGTGAACTGTCTTTTACGGCTCCCTCCTTTGAGATTTAGTCCAGATTTCTATCGAAATCTGCCCCAGAGAGTACATCAAGCTGGCTGGAAACTATCGCTCGGGACAATTCGACCTTGCAAACACAGATTCCTCATTCGCATGTTGTAAAAACGTCAGGACCATGTTTAGAGACGCCAGCGCTTTGAATGTGGGGAAATAGACACATCGCGCAGACCAAATGTGATATCGTTTTCAGGGGTCGAAGTTTTTCGGGCATGTTTTTGGATAAACGTGCCAGCTAACGAATTTCGATAATAAGTTAGGCCTAATTTTGATAAGGTGGGTTTATAAAGGTTATGAAAAATGATTAGATAATGATTAAGTGTTATGAAAAACACGGAAGGGGTCATAAGTTGACCGATTAGGAGATGGTTGCATTTGCTCAAGTATTTTTTCGATAGTTAATTTATCCGCGTTCTCAGCCAGACTCAGCATTAGTAGAATTCCTATGGGGCGGGGTTGATTTCCGTTTGTGCATTTTTCCCTTTTTACGTGCTCTAATCCTCTAATCTCGGTATACATTATCCCTTATAGTAGATTGCGGATAGTTGAGTAGTTATTGGAGGACCTCTTTCGATTTCGCGCTTTGTTCGACAACTTCTTGAAAAAAAAAACTGGAAGAGTGAGGAGCTGGATGGTCTTGGTAAGGTGTGGGCAGGTTCGTGAGACACCGGGTTACTGCACCTAACAGCCCGATGCTTGTCATACCTCCATTCTCCTTCCCCTCCACCGCACTCCCCGCTCGGAGGTGGATGAAAATTTGGTAATTTGGGGGGTGGGAGGTGGTATATCATCCGAAAACTCGCACAACGCGATGCTGTTCCCTGGTTCAATTACTCGGTTGTGAGTGAGAATAGTTCTTCAGAGTCCTGGGAAGGGGTTACTTTGTTGTTTTCCATCTTTGGAATGCGTTTCGATTATTTTCCAGAAGATACTGCCTACTTCAAACAACGCTTATTTTTTTCTTACAATGTTCTCTAGGTGATGTGAGAGCATGTGTGGTCTCGATGCTTGCGGAATCACGCCGTAACGAACGCAGTATTGAAGAAGCTGTCGAGAGTGTGCGCACGATGTCTGAACGGGTCGACGCCAGTGTGCAGGTATCCAAGATCTTCTGTACTTCTTCCAGCTTTTCAAGGCTAATCGGTTACTTATAGGCAGCAGCATCTGAACTACGGTCGCTAATACTTATATGAGATGCCTGGAGGAAGGAAGAGAGAATTGTTGCAGAAGTTGATACTATCAAGACAATCGTAAAACAAAGAATTTGAAGGCTCAGGCAGAAAATCTGAATGCGGCGAAAACGAGGTTTGCCCAGGTAATGGACATGATGTGACTCGTTTTGAGAACTTTCCTGAAACCCGGATCGGTGCCTATCCTTCCCTCGTCCCCGATCGTCGAGTCTCCTAAATCGCAGGATCTTGTCCATTGCAAAGTGTGAAGGCTACATTGGTAGCTCAATAGTGACCGACTTTGCGCTCCAGCGCTAATTGCTGTGAACATCAGTGATAACAGAAGGTTTTTCTGTGAAATGAATTGGAATGGCACGTCCTGTGATTAGTGTGGGAGGGCCGGTTGCTGGTGAGTAGTTTGAGTTCGCCTCCCGTTCTTTGTTCTCGCTGTGGGCAGAGGAGGGTGTCCTTCCATGAACCAGCGTGAATTTATGAAGGGTGCCCAAGGTTCATTTCAATTCCATTCGCTTCAAATTTGAAATTGTTTAATGGCTATAAGAGTTAGCTCGCATAAAGATGTGCTTCTTTCAGACTATCAAGTCGGTCGAAGCAATCACCTCCGAAGATGATAACGCGAAACTTGCGAACGCTTTCCAGGAGCTGCTGCAGGTCAGTTCATAATGCAGTGGCTATTTCGACGCTGCTCGACTCAGGGGGAGGGACCTTTCACACCCCTGCTAGTTTGTGCTGTTAATTTATGTTAAATTGTACGTCTCCACCTTGTAAGACCTAAGGACTCTTCTCAAGTGCAAACAAAGCTCGTGCTATTGCATAGCCTTACAGGAATCACCAGGTCCCTGAAAGAGGGATCGGCAGAGATCTATGGAAACCATGCATGCCTCCCCCTAGCCGAATTGCGCCATTATTTTGCATTGGTAGCCCTTATAAGGGTGTTACATTTGGAGATGAAAAGGCTGTCATTTAGAATCTTAATAAAATTTTGCTTTGCAGCTTTACGCCCAGCCTATTCATTTGATTCCTCACGAGAATGATGCTGTCAAATTCAGCGTTCCTGATAACCAGCTTCTCTCACAGTAATTATTCGATCGAACTAATTCGTGTTTTTGGAAGTTCTAGGCATGACAATATTGTTTCAGAATCCGATCCTTGGGTGAACTTGAAAGCGGACCATGCGCTCGTCAGTGCCATTTGGTTGGCGAAGGATATAAAAGGTTTCTTGTCCTTGTGGATATAAAAATTGATCAACTGATTACGTACATAATTCACTTTATAGAGGCCGTCACCGTTTCACTTACGCATGATAAAAAATTAATGTATAAATAATCAGTTGTTTAGACCAATCCGCGAGCGTCAGTGCATCGTTTATGTACAACTTCGCGATGCATGTGGCGAGGTAGTGCCTACGGACCGAGCTGATGGAACTGTTCGGGACATCACTGCAACTGTAGTGGCACCTGATGGGCGCTCTCTTGAAGTCCACATAGGGTTTGTGTGACCTTGCTCTGAAAATTCGATTGCTACAAAGCAGTAATACACTTCTTTTGCAGACGCAGCGAAAGCGACCCAGGCGTGATTGGTATTGCTTATTACCCGATACTTGATGGACAGCATCAACTGGATATACGAGTCCGTGGAGTGTCGATAAGGTGTGGTTTGGTTCTTGCTCTTGTTATCAGTTAGAGCAGTTTTGAGCGCCGTTCGGCTTGGTAGGGGCTTCAAAAGCTAGTGAATGACGCTTGTACACGTCATTTTGTGGATACGTGGGATTAGTTGTGAGAAAATGGCTCACTTGTACTATTTTGCAGCCTCACGGGAGTCTGCAAACTCCCGTGAGGCTGCAACAGGTCTCGGCAAAATGGCAGTGCGGGTCCAAAATGTTGCCTCACATGAAATAGCCAAAGGAACTGAAGAAAGTGCAAAATGTCCCTTCAAGGCCGAGCAGTGCCGAACTTTTAGTGGTTTATTTGAATAATCTCTGTAGATCCATTCGGTGAGTATTATTCACTGTTGTAATAGGAAGCAGATCAGGGGACCCGTGTTGCGGTAGCGATGAGAAGCTAATTTACGCGCGCTGTGGCATGAAGCCAAGTTCGCACCCAATGAAGTTGAAAAATTGGAGAACTTCTGATGTGGGAGAATTGTGCAATCTACAAAATCGCTGGCGGGATCGATAGTTCAGGATCTTTTTCTTCGCAATTCTCCGAGAATAAGCGGACGGTGGGAGGGAGGGGTCAGTTTTCATCTACTCTTTCTTGCCGATCTCTCGACTCTCTAAACTTCAAATCTATACATATTCCTTTTCCGCTGGTTCTTCGAGGTCGTCTTCCAAAACTGCCTAGTAACTCATTTCGCTGCGGTTCGTACTGAAGAGATGCAACACTTTCTTCGGCGCAACTTGGTTCTCCTGAAACCTGTCTGTTGTAGGAATCCTGACCTAAACTTTTCTTCTGCATAAGGCAGCGTCCAGGCTTCGAGTCAACGCTCTAGAATGCATTTAAGGCGCGTCGACGCGTTACTATGACAGTGGCGGTGCGAGGTATGGACGGGAACGCGGCTGTAGACGCGTATCGATCGGCGCTGACCTCTTGTATTTCAAGAAACTTATAGGATAGCAGGAACGCTGCCTTCACACTATCCTATTCTTCGTATCCTCCCAAGTGCATTCTTTCACGCTCCCCCAAAACAGTAGGGTCGGCTCTAATCGATACCAGACTGATTAGTACCGCCTAACCTCCTATCATCCTGTACTCTGTCAAAATTGAAGCGAACGGAGCCGGTCGATACCCGTTTGTAGCCGCGTTCCCGTCCATAGCACTGAAGCGCCGTTGCAGTGGGCTGGCGCGCGTCATCGCGAAGTCTGAACGCTGCCTCAACTTGCGCCTGATATCCTTTTCACATTTATACTTCTACCGTGGTAAATCAGTGCTGCTGTCCTTAGAGGCCAGTGCCCATCAGAAAAGAGATGGCACTCCTTCATGGAGCATTTCAAAACATTTTTCATTTAATCTTCTTTATCGCTTTGTACTTTCAGTGGCTGTCCAGCTGTCGTAGATGTACGCCATGGTCGTAACTATGCTGAAATTGCTGCCCAGGGGGAACTATTCTCGTTTGGAAAAGAAGGTGCGTTCAGGAGCCGGGGAGAGCCGATTGTGAAAGGCTTGGTCTATTAAAGTAGTTAATTTTGTTACATATGCCTCCTTTTTGGATTTCATAACAGCGCACGTTTCTATGAAACTTTTTAAAACCTAATTCCCCTGTTGTTCTTCAGTAGGAATGAGGTTCCCTAATCGAGTAAATATATTCAGGGTTAATGGAGTCTAAATTCCAGGTTCGGCTGACGGTGAACTTTGCCGTCCGTGGGGAATTTGTGTTGATTTGCGTGGACGAGTACTTGTAGCAGATCGAAGCAATAATCGTATTCAGGTGAGCGGCGAACGTTTCCATCTGGCAGAACACTTATTATTTTGCAGTTTTATTTCAGATTTTCGATCGAGATGGTGGTTTCCTTGCCAAATTTGGCTGTGGTGGAACACGTTCGGGTCAGTTTGATCGTCCAGCAGGTGTTACAGTCAACACAAGGGTTCGTGTTTCGTTTAATTTTCTTTTTTTCATTTCGTGCCTCTTTGTGCGGGATAAGAAAAAGTTGTATTTTAGAACAATATTGTGGTGGCCGACAAGGACAACCACAGAATCCAGGTGTTTGATGAAAATGGTAACTTTCTGCTGAAATTTGGAGAGAGAGGAAGGCCAATTGGAATGTTCAACTATCCCTGGGGAGTGGCAACGAATAGCCAAAACCACATTGCTGTTTCCGATACGCGAAATCACAGAGTTCAGGTGAATTTTCTCAATGTGCTTTGTTCATGCTTTTCTCAGGATCACATGATTGATGGAAAAGCCGCGTTGTCAGCGCTTCAATTCATGTCCTCCCCCCCCCCACCCCTCGGTCACACGCCCGCCCCGTTTCCAGGAATCTTTGCTGTTTGTATCTGAGTACGGGGAATTGGGGCAGGAGTTGTGGGATAGTTGTTTAGCTGATTTACAAGAAGAATGATCCACAGCTTTTTGAAGCTGAAAAGTTTGTATAGGCTGTACCACTAGGTTGTATGAACCCTTTCCCCCCTCCTAAGGAGATCTCAGTATGGACCCTTACACAGCCTACCGCTGGGACAACTTTCAGACCACCCTTACACACTCGACTTTGAAATTTTCCCAAAATATTGTGCACACGAGGCGGGGCGTCAAAAAAGTCTCGACCCCAATCGCGACCATATGATGGGACACAAACAGTGATGATTTTTGTTGACCTGAATTGTTTTTTTTTTGTGCAGTCTAGAAGCTTTTGGAATCCTTCGATGTTCGGAAGAGTTTTTCATCCCATTTAGTGACTTGATCACTAAAATAGATTCTTTAGGTGTTCAATGAAAATGGACAGTTCATACGGAAGTGTGGGTTTGACACTGCATTCTTTTACAAGCATCTGGATTCTCCTCGTGGTGTATGCTATCTATCTGATGGTCAACTCCTCATTACGTAAGGTTTTACTTTGCGCAACGGCTCTTGAGGTGCTGGTGCTAGTTTTGTGCATTTTCAGGGATTTTAACAATCATCGCCTGGCTGTGCTATCCTCTCGTGATACCCCGGAAATGAAGGTATACGGCACGGAAGGCAGTGTTGAAGGAATGTTCTGTCGCCCACAAGGAGTGAAAGTTGACCCGGAAGGGCATATTCTCATATGTGATTCACGAAACAATCGCGTTCAGGTCAGTGGTTGTTTGCTTAGGCTGCGTTCATACTTTGCGCCAGCGTGCTTCGGCGTACGCCGGTGTATAGAGCGTACGACAATTCCAGCGACCAAGTGAGTATAGATATCGATCTAGCAAAGGTCAGCTTCCACCAGCGTACGTTAGCTACTAGAAAGTGTGAGTATCGATTTAGCGAACGCCAGCGTCATCGGCGTCCACCAGCGTATCGAGGGACTAGGGAAGTATAGGTATCGATCTGCGAACACCAGAGTTTTCACGGGCAGTTTTGCTCAAGCGCGAAAGTGCCTGCGAAAACGCTGCTGGACGCTGGATCTGCGGACAACTTAAATAAATCGACCCCAGTTTTCTGTTTTTCTCTCCTTTCTCTCGTCTGCATGACGGCATATATCCACTATGGCCTTAAACATTCCAACTCTTATCCTATGAATTATAGGTGGCTCATCCACCTTGGAGCTTCCAAGGAAGAAGTCATCTCCTGACTTGCAGCGTATTTGTCCACCTTTCAAACCGTGGCAGGTGCTCTATTTGTCTGCGCTCTGGCCTTTCCCGCAAACACCTCCGTCAAAAGTTCTAGTCGTGACGTAACCGGGCGCTGGTGGACGCTGGCGTTCGCGGATCGATACCTATACTTCCCTAGTCCCTCGAGACGCAGGCAGACGCTGGTGGACGCTGGCGTTCGCTAGATCGATATCTATACTTTCT